AACCCTAACCCTAACCCTAACCCTAACCCTAACCCTAACCCTAACCCTAACCCTAACCCTAAACCCTAACCCTAACCCTAACCCTAACCCTAACCCTAACCCTAACCCTAACCCCCTAACCGCAACCCTAACCCAAATACCAGTAAACCCTGAACCACTAGGCGGCAATCCCTAAACCCCTATATCCTAGAGCCTAAACCTGTAGACCCTAAACCCTATACCGTGGACCCCTGGATTGTGAATGTTAGACCGTAGCGGCTAATGCTTTAATACTAATGCCTAAACAACTCGGTGGTGCATAGCGGCTAAACCCTATAATATGGAAGTGCAAGCCCTAAAACCCCCAGCCCTGGATTGTGAATCTTATACCGTAGAACCTAATACTTTAATGCTAATGCCTAAGCAACTCTGGGCTGCATACAAGGGACAGTTAACGGCCAGCCAGCGTAACAGCTTGCCTTGAAGTATATAAACCAATTAAAAATGAACCACGTAAGAAAGAAACGGCTATGAGGCGCAATAGTTTGCACTCGCAGGCCGTTGGGGAACTCTGTTGGCAGTTTATGTGCAGTGCAGTGGGGAAATGAAGTAGAGCATTCGCAAAGTCGCTTCCTCGCAATCACCGATTAATGACCAAGTAGAACTTAAACTCAACCTAACCGTGATCACTCCAAGGGCAGCTAAGGAACCTTTGCACGCGGGGGCATGCTAAATCAGGCGTGGCCATGTTACTTCCAGTGAGTACACGTTTGAGCCCTTCTAGAATATTCGTTGCGGAAATCTGCCAACGTGGGCAGGCTGCAGAATCCGCACATTATTACTGGCTGCAATCCAATGAATTTTCCTCAATATCTGCCGCAGGTTTGAGGATTGTTCTTGCTGATAGTTTTTCAAAACCCAACGAACCCAACGAAACCAACCAACTGATGAGTATTGTCTCAGCACCTGAATCGGAAATCCTAACCCGCAGATGGGAAGCGATGCTTCGGGGATATTGTTTTCGTTCTTTTTACCTCCCACCGTCAAGCTGCCTTGCTAAACCTGCTAAACCACCTGTCCACACTCTTGGCAAGAACTGGCTATCTGGAGGGCTGAATCCATTTCCGAATTCCACCATGCACTGCATAGCAATAGACGGGCATCACTGTGGCTTCTTTGTTTCTAGTTTCAACAACGACTGCCAAAGGCTCCACTCGTCACCAGGGCTCTCCTCCCTCTGCTGAATGCACTCCACGATCGCTCCAAAGAGATCCTTAGTAGTTGGGAATCTAGAGCGAATTGCCAGCAGTGTTTCCTCCATGCTCTCCAACTGTGAGTCCCCAAATGCCTTGTAGTGCATAGTTCGCCCAACAGCACTGAGGGCAATCCACTGTAGTAAAGTTTTGAGTTCGTTGTCGCCATTAAATATTACACATCCCCTGTAGAAGCAGAGCGCACGCCTACCACTCCATTCATGGGAACCATAAATATAAAGTGTATGAGACGCCAAAAATAATGCGGATGCAATGCACAGCATTTGCTCACCACTTTCCAGTCGCGACGCCAGCCCTTCCCTCATGAATTGAAGATTCAAACGGGTCGCCCTGAAAGCCAAGGGCTGCCTTAAGGATCTCTCGCTTCATGCTCTGGATAGAGTACTGTTTTTTTTTATCGCGAAATTGGATGGCATCAATACCAACTAGAGTTGTCTCACGCCGCCCCATTGAATCCAGGGGAGTGCGACGGTGGACGCTCCAATGGGACCCAACGGGAACCTCAGGCGGAAACACCTTAAACGTCTTTTCGTAACCTGCGTGATGTGGCGAATGCAAGCACCCTACTCACTGAGTAAACCCATGGAGGGCTTCAAAGAATAAACAATGCTAATTGGTTTGGTGGGTCTGCCAAGCAGAATCACGACCTGATGGTTGGGAGTAAACCCCTGAGGCGGCAGATATAGTGCATGCGTGGTGTTTTATTTGCAGATTGTCACCTGTGTAGTCTACAAAACTCTCCGCCCCTTTAATAACAACTGCCTCATCATCTTTAAGGGCCGGTTTGAACAGCATAATCGCGTGCAGCTCGGGTCTCAGGGCAAAAAGTAGTTCTTCCTGGGCAATATGGCCTTCAAACATGCTTAGACCCCCAAGAAACCTGTCTGCAAAGTCGACCTGAGAAACAACATCCACGGAATAATCCTTCCTAGACAAACGCAATTTCGTACTGAGGACAACAGGCTCTCCACAATCATGTATACCCCACCCACACTGGTTTCCAAGTTAAATCCATGCTGCACCTGCAATGTTGATTATCTGGAAGTGTTCAACAGATATCGCTCCCTACAAACATCGTCACCTGCTTTAATCCCCACACAAACATCTGTAACCCACCTGCAGATTCCCGTCGCTCTTCGTTATATCTCCATGAAGATCTACAGTTGCGTCTGAGAGGGGGAGCGGTTGACTAACAATCGCGTCGACATCGACACTGCTTCGTTGTACCTTTTGTCCCCCAGGTGCCACAAACGTTGTGGCCTCCGGAGTGTGCAAGTAAAAGCTAATGATTTCGTCGACGGGAGAAGTACTTCCAACCCTACCTTCTTGACACGAACAGGCGGCTGGGCATTTTGCCTGTGTAAAATCATTGTTCTTTAGCATCATCTCCCAGCAGCTGCCCATGGTCTTCTGCATTTCACTGAAATACGTTAAAAGAGCTTTGAGCTTCGGCTCCCTGTTGAAAAATCCCTTGCTATGCATATTTAGAGCATTAAGGCGCAAATCGCCAAACTTTTTCAACAACTCTCGCTGATTATGAGGGATAGTCCCAAAAAAGCTCGCAGCCATCAAGCCCAGCACTTGAATTCGCCGCAAGTGCACCGAGGGGTGCGATCTCATCATGTGTTTCAGCCCCTGAGACCAGCCAAACAGGAAACGTTCCTATGTATGAGACATCGGTCGTAATCAAAACTCTAGCATCATTCATATCCAGAATACCGCCACAGGAACCAGGAGCCTTGCCTGCGGGAAGAGATCTGGCAAATGCCGAGCAACACTCGCCAAGAATGGTAGGGTGGTCTTAGCAAACTTTCTCTCCTGTGCCAAGTATCGTGTCAGTCCTTCTATCGGTAAGTAACCCGTGCCTCGGTAGTTCCCTGAATACGCAACGCCAGAAAAAGCAAGCTATTGCAGTGCAGGTGCTGATGTGGCACAGAGATGACGCCACAGAACTTCCCGCAGAAATCGCAGTAGACAGCTGCGATAAACCGGTAACGAAGCTTCAGAGAGGGAGCTGCTGCCTCGCTGCAAGAACTAGATTGTACTCCCCAGTGCAGCGGCTTGATTTTCCGTGACCAGAAGGTTATTACCTGCTGCTTTAAGTAGAGATTTGAACAGGTTGTCAAAGTCCGTTTGGGCTGAAGGAATCGAGCCTATTTCAATGTCATGAAGAAGTTCTTGAATTCGCGTTCTCTGGGATTCTGCCGAAGGCCAAAGGACTGCAAAAGGCGCTTCCTCGGGGCTTGCTGAAGGCACCTGAGAAATCCACAAAGCGGCCACAAACACTGCCAGTTCATGGTAGCCATACCGAAATGCCTGCTAGCCCTAAACCATAAACAGAAAATGGCCGTACAATGTGCCCGAGGTTATGCATTTTTTCGTGCATACGCGGTGAGAATCTCCGTAATAGCAGTGCAGCTTGCCCACCACTATTCCCGTTCCGAGCAGAGCAACTACTCTCATGCATAGCGGGGATGGCTGACAGTACTAGAATGCGCCCACCGGAGTCTGAAACATGCCACGGCTTAGTCACTTTCGTCTCCTATCACGTATTTTGCTGCACGCATACACTGCTAGCGATTCACTGGTGCCATTGGTAATGTCCGGACCTGCTCCGTAAATGTATATTGCAGCACTAAGGAACCTTGCCCCAGTATATACCAAAACAGGGCACAGTTGAAGCAAAACGAGCTCCCACCTTCCCGTATACTACAATTTCACAAGCCAGAGCGTACCAAACATGCATCAATGCGTAATCGCGTATACGCTGAAACACGACAGTACCCAAAAGCGGATGTTTGACGCACAAATATTACTTAAGAAAACGCAAAACAGCTGGCTCCTATCGGTATTGCTTGACAGCCCCTTTTTTGCTGGAAGGTTAAAGACACATTTGGTGCTTCAACTTTGGCATGGACAGACAGAGCATGCAACCGTTCCCGAGGCGGCTAGAGTTATTCCCTGTGCCCACTACAGCACATTCGTACAGCGAGAAAGTCGACAGAACAAAAGTGATACAGTCACCAACTGTACTATTCCCAGAACAAACCGTTCAGGAGGCTTTACCATGCCGAAAGCCTGCCACCAACTACTCGCTACACGCTCGCTGTAGCCCTGGAATCAAGGGAGTCATTTGGACAGCAGCGTTGGCCTCACGTCATGCAGTGAGCGACCCCGTGTTAAGAAAATCACATTCGCCACAATTGACTTCCATTGATTTGGACAGAAAATTGTTTATACCAACAAATGCTACAGCGTGTGGCTCTGGTGACTGTGCAGATTTCCCTGTACGTGCATGTATGCATAGGAATACCGGGCCCTTCATGCCTTAACACAGGGGCAGCATAGAATCAACTGTCTATGTGTTCGCGTTGAGCATTGAAGCTGCCTATTTACCTCCACACATAAACTAGGTCAACGTGCGTAGAAACGTTCCTTGTCCTGGTTGCATGTAGTGGACACCCTGCAACGGTTTGCTATGACTCACTTCACAAGGATCTGAACCTCCATTTGCAAGTCTCCGCTTATTAGCACTGAAGCTTCTCGAGTTGACGTTGGAGTTCTGGAACTTGAAACACTTAAGAATGCAAGACACCACAGCAACTGCTGCGAATAGGAGGGCAGCCACGAGGAGCGGTGACCCTATGCTTTTCCCCCTGAGTCCGAGTGGAGGGGCATTTTTATATAATACTGGAAATTCGTTCTGCTGGAAAGTGGATGGATATGTATAAAGACGGATGATCGGCCTTCGCATGGTGTCAGCCGCCTCTGCTACGAGCGCCACAGACGCAGCAATGAGTGACGCGAGCCCAAGCATTTTGCAAGCATTTGGGCACGGCATCAACAATGATGAAAAAAGCAAAGCTCAGTTACTGAAGTTTTAATATTGACGTAGAGATGACACTCCCTTTGAACTTGAGCCCGTTCGCCACAGGCAATGCCGTAACGGGTTAGACACGTGCACACAACTCAAATAGTGTGGGCTGCAGAACCCATCAATGTCTTGCTAAACATATGAGAAGAGCTTGCACATTTCCATAATACTGGATAATGCAGCCTCTATATTTCATTAGACTAAACGCATCAGGCACACTGGTGTCCCGCGTGCAGCGGCGCTGGAGCTGGAGCTGGAGCTGTAGCTGTTCGGAGCACGTCAGACGTACGGGATTGAGTGTGGGTGTCCAGTTGGTCTTATACAAACAGAACTACAGCCAACACAATATTCCGAAGAAATTTTTTCTTCCAGAATAATCATATAATTCAGACAGCTGTTTGAGTCCGTGAATTCCTTGCGCTCCCATGAGCGTGGGTTCGCACGCGTTACAGGGAATGCTCGATCTCATTGGGGAAGTAGCATAGTCTCTCCAATAGTGGCACAGCCATCTAATCTTGGCAGACGAACCATTACCCAGCCCTAGCAGACAAACTGTACTCAAACGGAAGTTCTCAACAATGGCTTGCATTGTTCATCAGTGCAGCCAAGTATACCAGTTTAGACTTGTATGTGTGGCTGCGTGACTCGGCCCCTATGTCGTATTCGAGAACTATTGCAGGCCTAAAATTAGCCAGAAAACCTACAATAAGAGTTTCCTAAGAACAGCTGACTCTATCCAGGCCCCCCGGCGTCCAGAGTGCAACGTCCCTCATATGTTGACGGATGATATTAGGCAACCGGCAAGCAAGCAGAAGTCTTCAACAGATATCAACAGTACAGACTTGCCAACATCTGACAGGCTATGCTACAGAAGGCTGTCTATCTTGTGTTGCAGCGCAATATGCTACAAACGCTGCCGAGGCGCAATCCCGTGTGCACTTGAAGCCAATCACACTTTACTGCGTGCTCGAGTTGCCAACCACTTACACGGCATTAACGGCCTTAAGGGGCAATCGGGAACGCAAATAGAGCTGCGCAAACATGTGATAACTTTAAAAAAAATATACACGCGCTGGTTATCTCTCCCGCGAGCAGCATGCTGCCTTGCTCTACCTAGAACGGCGTGGGCGCGATGAGGAAAAGTATTGTGTGTTGTAAGACCCCTCTAGCTCTTCCTGCTCCACACCTTTGTTTGAAGTCTGCTGCTGCTGCTGCATAGCTTGCTGCTTCGTCGATTTCTATATCGTCGCCTTCTGATACTTTTGAGGGGAATTCCAAAGGCTCAGATGTCAGTTTCTGCCGCAGCTGGCCAGCGGAACTCGTAAATGGTGCTGATACAGTTCAGTAACGGAGCTGAATCCGGTGAATGCGGCATTTTTCTATCTGCAGATGCTCATACACATGTGTAAATGATAAAGAGAATCTCAAGCGCAAAACAAGAAACGAGTACACATAGGCGCAGGTAAAGATAAAACAAGTACAACACTGTATAGTGTTTATTTGTGTTAATTGCAACGCAAAAGGGTCATCGGCTATGAGTTCTCCGCGGCGCACTTCGAGGATTCCCTGACTTCAAAAAATTGAAGGTGTATGCTTTTAACGCGAGTACAGTGATATATATAACTGGAGATAGTTGGTTAGAATCAGCTGTATCCCCAGGTATATTTGCGTTCTCAGGTGGCAAGGAATCTTGCAGATACTTTGAAGGTGGGGCCAGAGACTGGGGTTGGCGGATTAGCTTATTTGTTTTCCATGTCATCAGCACCCCTCTCTGGCCAACGAACACACTTGCGGAGATATTACATTCGAATACGATGTTTGCAACTTCTCTCTGGTGTAGTTACAATGCACTGAAGCACCCAAGAGGCTTGATGAGTTTTGCACGAGCGACTTGTTGAGAGATCCGGTTGTGCTTAGATATGGTTCCGGAGGGCTTTAGCAATAACAGGGCCAGCCAGTTGTGGTTCCCTATTCTTAAAAAATTGCAAGCTGTGACCCCGCCAGTTCGTTTAATGGATCGGTATTCTGGCCCAATGGCTCGTGTGGATGCCCGTCAAAGATGGAGCATGCGCTGCTGTCTTGCGCCAAATACAGCAGTCATGCGCAAAATACAGCCATGTAGGTGGTTGGAGTATCTGCCGATCGCACCAAGGCTGATATCTGTCTAACTCTCCAAGGTATGATGAAAGAGGTCTTTAAACACCTCGACAATGTTCCCTCCCCGTCCCCACTGGAAGTTAACCAGCCAACAGACAGAATATCTTTTGTTGGACAGAGTAGGATTGGACTTGCTTGAAAGACTTGCGTTATATGTAATTCGCGAGTGTTGGTGGAAGCCATGCGTCTTGTTCACCCCTTAAGCAGTCTACAAGTGATTCATTTGGATTTCAGTTCATCTTGTTGCGCCTGCGCCAAAATCGCAGTAATGTGAGCACTGGCGCATTTGGATAGCAACGTGACACTCGCCTTGCAAGCACTGTGTTCTTTCGTAGTGGGACTTCTGGAGGAGGTGCTTCACAAGGAAACGAAAAGAAGGAATGGCGGCGTGTTAATTTCTTTTTCTGTTGATGATTGTACAACTCCAGTTTTAAGACCCTTTGCAGTGGCATTCAAAATATTTACTCCCTGCGCTGAATCTTTCTTAAAGATACACGCCAGTTAAAAGTGAAAACTCGATCTTGGGGCCGTGCAGCAGCGAACCCACTTTCCCGTTTTTGCCGGCCCCTTCATAAAGCAGCGCCATCGATTGCGCCAGCGCAAACGCATTGTGCTTCAGTTGACAGCGTTAAGAAAGGCGCATATTATATTTTCAGAAAAATCAGAGGTCAAGAGGAAATAGATTGCGTTTCAACTGCATTTGCAGAGCCACTACAACAACGACTTAGGGCGTATGACTGCCAAGTTACTTTGTCAGATACTTGTTGTCTATGGCGCGAGTGCCGTTCAGCGACTGGCTTTGCACCCTGAGTGAAAAAGGAACTTGGTTGACAGTCGTTTGCGGGAGTCGGAGGCAAAAGCTGGAAGGCACTCCACTGGAGTCTTGCTCCTCACCACAAACAAGCAGGGAGATTCGGAAGCTCTAGGTAAGCGAATGGCCGTTGTTAAGCACAGACTTTGAAGACCGTGATCTGCTCTTACCGTCGACGGGGTGGCCAGATAAAAGGCCACCCATTCCGTGTACTGCCAAACTTGACCCTTACCTGTTACTGCCGGCACATGTAATACTTTTCGCCTTCCGTTCTTCACCTTTATCATCCAACGCGCACCCTTTCAAAGTCTGCAACACGTTTCTTGAGTGTTCACGACGGCTGGAGTGTTGGGCAGTTTAATATCCAACCCACTAGTTGGGTTAGGCTGGAAGGTCGATAATCATCTGCCCATTGGAAAATGTTCCTCCCAAATACGGACGTGAAGGGCTAAAGCCTCTGGATGTGCTAATAGGGAGTATGCATGCACACAAGTCTTCATGGGGGCCATTCGTTGTGCCACCTGTACTGCAT